ATATTCATTTAGCAGGAATATAAATAATGTTTAAATCACTATTTAGGGAAAGGATAGATTCATCATTAACTATAAATTTACATGATGGAAGAATAATAAATTTAAAAGATAGCCATTTAGGAACAATAGAATGAAATTTAGCATATCAAAAAATTATGTTTACATGTTATCCAAAATATTGTGTATCATTAAAAGATAGAAATTTTAATAAAGTTTTAGGACTACATTTCAAACTTCATAGAGATGATATTATGCAACCAGGTGATCAAATTATGACTATAGAATATAGAGTTTTATACACATTTACCAATTCTAATTATGAGAATATTTATTCCAATAAACAATATATTGAAGTTCATAAAGAATGTAAAGATATTAGTAAAATAATAGAACCAAATACACAAATAAGTTTAATTCCAGAAGAATATGAATTTAGTATAGCAAAAAATAAACCTAAAATAACATAATTAAATGAAGGAGAATGTTCTAATAACATAACATTTAAGGATGAAAAATTAATTAAAAGATCAAAAAGTTTTAAAATACCTAATAAAAATCAGTTAGAAGAAATCAACAAAATAAAAAAGTAAAATTGTATAGGAATGCTGAAAACATGAAAATAAAAGGAGAATATTATAATGAAAGAAAAAATATAAATGTACCAAATATATTAATAGATACAGGAGCTAGTAAATGTCATATAACTTCGATTAGCAACAAAGGACTAATAACTCAAAAAACTGAACCATATAAGTATGTAAATTTTGATGGACAAGTATATATAACAGATTTGAAAGTTAAGGTACCAATAAAAATAGGAGGAATAGATCTAATAGTACCATGTTACATAGATAGAAGTATGGATATAAACCCTCATATACTTTTAGGAATGATATTTCTAAACGGATTAGAAGATTATAGTATAAAAATAGAAGGATTCATAATGGACAAACTACATTATGTAGAAAGAATTACATGAATAATCAGATAAGTTTCCCATTAGTTGTGTATATATAAATTACTATTGTAGAAACGAATATAACAACTTGTGCTTTAATATATACATGAAGTGATATAACAATATTTAAAAGTTTTTTAATAAAATCATGGAATAATAATAGTAATATAAAAATAGCTAGTGTTACAGGAGAAAGTACTCAAATAATTAATAGTGCTGATAAATTTAATATAATTCTTGGAAATAAATAGGTAACAATAAATAAAATTTATAAATATGATATATTATTAGGAAATGATTTCATACAACAGTTTCAATATTATAAACAAAATAATTATATGATAACGTTACAAACTCCTTGTGGACATTTATTAAAAATTTCTAGAGAATTTAAACCTTATAGAGTTCAGCCAGCCCAACGTGGTGATAAATGGGAGAAAAAACCAAACCTTAATAATGAAATAAAAAATAAAAGAATATTATATAAAAATCATTGAATATAGAAAAAATCATTGAACAATTAGAAAATGTTTATGGAGAAAATCCATTATTATTTTGGAAACCACATCACCCAAAAGTTAAAATAGAATTAACAGAAAATGTTATAATAAGAGTAAGACCAATGATATATACAATAGAAGATACACAAGAATTTAAAAATCAGATAAAAGAATTATTAGAACAAAAACTTATTAGACCTAGTAATGGACCTCATAGTAGTCTAGCCTTTATGGATATGAAACACTCTGAACAAATTAGAGGAAAAGATAGAATGGTTATAAATTATAAAGAATTAAACAAGTATACTAAATTTGATAGTTACTTCCTACTAAATAAGCAAGTACTAATAAATCTTGTAAGAGGAAAACAATATTATTTTAAATTTGATTGTAAATCAGGATTTTGGCAAGTAAAAATAGAAGAAGATAGTATACAATATACTGCATTTAGCACACCTCAAGGAAAATATGAATGATTAGTTATGCCATTTGGTTTGAAAAATGAACCACAAATATATCAAAGGAAGATGGATAATATATTTAAAAAGTTTAATGAATTTCTAATAGTTTATATTGATGATATATTAATATGTCCTAATAGTAAAGAAGAACATAGAAATCATTTAATCCAATTTATTAATGAATGTAAAAAAGAAGGAATTGTACTATCTAAAAAGAAATCTATAATAGAAAAACAAGAGATAGATTTTCTTAGATTATCAATAGATAAAAGAGGGATAAAATTACAAACTCATATATCCAAAAAGATAGAAAGTTTTTCAAATAAATTAGAATCCAATGAACAAATTCAAATTTTTTTAGGATGTTTAAATTATGCAGAAGGGTTTATTGAAAATCCTTCTAAAAAAAGACATAAAATTCAAGTTTTACTTAGAAAAACAAATACTAAGGGATGAAATGAAAAACATACAGAAATAGTTAAATCATTAAAGAAGAATGCAAAAATTTATCAAAATTAAGATTACCAGATGAAAAAGATAATTTAATTGTTAATACTGATGCCTTAGATAAATATTGAGCAGCAATATTAAAAACAGATTTTAATGAAATTTGTAGATACTCTAGTGGAACCTTTAATCAAGCAGAGATAAATTATACTACTCATGAAAAAGAATTATTAGAAATTATTAGAAGAATAAAAAAGTTCTCATTGTTTTTATTATCCAAAAAATTTATTGTTGAAACTGATAATTCTCAAGTTGCAGGATTAGTCAGAAATAAGTTACCCTTAGAACCACAATACAGAAGACTTCATAGATGGCAAGCTTATTTAACATTTTATAATTTTGATATAGTCCATATTAAAGGAGTTAATAATTTTCTTGCAATTTTTCTCAGCAGAAACATAGAATTTGCTAATGGATAAAGCCAAGGCCATGGAGTTATATCAATCTATTATACATATACAAGAAATGACAAATTTTCTTAAAAAAGAATCTGAAGATATAAGTTCTGGAGTAACCCAGATCTCAGACATGTTCAACTCAAATATGAAAATATTGTTAAATATCACTACAGAGCATCATAAATATGCCATAGAACTCAAAAATCAAGTTGATGCTATTGCAGCACAACTAAAAAATATACTATTTGAAACAGATATACCAAAGAGTTCAGAAATGAGTTTTCCAAATTAAAACCAAACAGGGACAACTGGAAGTAGCAGTAGACCCAGACGTGACAACATATCAACTGATAATAAAGGAAATTCCATTTCTGTATCATCAACCAAGAAAGTTATGATACATAGAGATAAAAGAGATACCAAAACAATCAGCATCATAAACCAAAAAGATAAATTCCCTTTAGATCGAAACGAAGAAAAATATGTCGAAATAGTCAAAATTGCTTACGAAATAAAAATAAGTGATTCATATTTCATTTCTCCGAAAAATAATGTTTACCCCAGAATAACAACCATGGAAGGAGGTGGCTCTTCATTTATAAAAATCATGACAGACTATAGATTCATGGATTTGATTTATCTAAAAAAAGATTTTATTGAAATTTCAAAGTTTGATGATATATTCATTAAGGAAGTATCCAGATTTGCTAAGGGAAGGAAGATATTTTTAAAATTCTATTCAATCAGTCCAGAATATGATGAAATTATTTACTATCCAGTTGAACACATAATCTCAATTGGATATGTTGCAGCCAATTTCCAAATTGATGTTACAGAGAATAATAGAAAAGTCCCAACAGTGACAAAATTATGGATCAGACATAGAAGAGCACTTGGAATTAAAGCTATTTACAACATTGTCAAAATTTTGTTTGATAAAAAAATCTCGTGCCTGTGCTAATATGAAAATTGGATGTTGGTATCCAATGGGGGATATGCAAAATCAGAAATTTTAAAAGATAATATTACAAGATTTGATATACATCAATTTTTAGGATATCCTACCACTATAAAAGAATCTTGTCAGTTAAGGGAGTGCCCCAGCTGCATGTGAAGAAATGAAAGAAGAAGACAAAGCACATGTTGACAAAGGTGTATGAAGGACAATAATACTACATCTGAAGACATTGAAGATAAAAAGCAATAATAGAAAAAGATGCTCTTTGGATAGAAACGTTGAACCAACATGTGAAGATGTAGGCCCAAGGAGGAAAACAGAGAGGCAAAAGTGTCTTTACTGATGTAATCAATGATGTAATAGAGTCTTAAAAACTTGTATAAATAGAGACATTACCACAGAAGAATATCAGATCATCTTATCCTGAATTATCGAGTTGCAAGCAATAGCCCATTCTCAGTTTGAAAAATCATTTTTTCTGGAAATCCCTTTGTACCAAATTGAAGCCTTGTATCAATAGAAATAAAATTCCAATATTTTGATATCAATATGAGTTTCTAAATCTTTTTCCTATAGATTCTTGAAGGATCTAATAAAAAGTTATCTTCTTATTTTAGCAAAAAGAGTGTTTTCTTTAACAGAAGTATAGAATTTTATTCTTTAGAAGTTGATACAGTGAGAGCAAGTCGTTGAAATGTAACAATTCCGTGAAGTCAGGAGGCCGTTAAAGAAAGCAGTTTACAAATTCAGAGCTCGAAGATCACTCGTTCTAAGAATACAAGTCTAAATCAAACCTAAGGTAAAACTATTAAACTTTTGCTAAAATTAGAATGAATCTTTTTAAGATTTTAAAAGAATCGCATGGACAATTGCATGATGATTATTTTGATAAATGCCAATAAATACAGTTGAAGGATTAGATAATTTAATATAAAAAATGTTAGAAGAAATAAAGAATATTATATCTCAATTAAAAAATACAAATTTACCATTTGAAGAATATGGTACTTTAATTACAAAATATGATATGAATGTTGTAGATTATTCTTATTTATTAGATCGTAGAATGATTTTATATTCAAATATCCAAAATAAAGTAAATAGATGATAAAATATTTAAAAGATTATGACATATATTACAATATAGAAAGAATTATTTCATTAAAAATAATACAGACATCTCCATAAAAAGAATAGTAACAGCTCAAATAGAAAAAACTCGCATTCAAATGCCCATTACAATATCCTAAATCTTTCCAACTCTACAATCCCTCTTCTCATCCTCACGCCATTCTGAGAGGATGAAGTTATTGTCATGGTTGGGTCTCCATCCACACGCCTCTTCTCATAGTTACCTCTCTCCACTTAAATTCTTCACCTTCCTCTGATTTTGAGCCTTTTTTAACGCTTGCACAAAATTTAATAGGCTTTGGGTCCTTTTGCCTTCAAGGTATACCCACTTCCTTATTATTTATACAATTCTTATTACTTTCTTCCTTAGAAAAATCTTAATTGACAGTATTAGTTTTCGTTCACCGTGAAGATTGCAAGCATAGTGAACAGATTTCTCATCTTGTACCGGACAGATTATAGAAGGGTTTGAATTCATTTTGTAAGTCGTCTATTATTCTTCTGCAGTGATTTAGTTGGGAAATAGAAATTTCTATTGTTTATATATTATTGTTTTTTAAAAAGGAGAATTTTTCGATGCTAGTATTCAACTGTTAATAGATGGAAATAATTGTGTCAGTGTAAGAATTCCTTTGTACGGTTTCTTTATCCAATTTCTCATTTACAACGATGGTCTATATTAATTTATATGAAAATAAGTCAAGAATAACCTAATGTTTTGAAACAGCCGCAAGGCGCAAGGTTTGAATAGTACCAGAATAAGCTTAGAAACGTGCCTGCTTTAGTCCTGTTGTAGACGCTGTAAATAAGTCTTGTTTCCTATAGACATCAGTACGTGTGCATAAAAGCAATGCAAATTTGTTCTCAACTTACTTGCATTTGGTTTCTCACTAAGTTTCCACGGTTATTTGATGGTAGATAGGATATTTAACCTAGTTTATATGAAAGTTTTGGGATTTTTTGGTGGTACCTATTATCGTTTATTGAAGAAACTAAAGGGTCACTAGTGTTTGGTTCTTCAGTTGACCACCATTTTCAATCATGATTATGTACAAAGCTATAAGTAAGGTATTTACAAGTTATAATCAATTGTTTGATGCATGATATATATATATTTTTTTTCATGGCCAACAGGTGGACTTTTCTAGGGAAAGTTTTATAAGCTTTAGGATTACGATGTTGTTATATGAATATTGTTTATTGAAGGAAACATTGTAAATTAACAATTTCGTGAAGATATAAAGCTGTATCTTCTCCAAGATGACCATTTTATATGCTCTTCAGTGGCAACTTGGTAGAAGGCAGTAATTTAGATCAATTTATTATTTTTTATGTGTTTTTCGTCAGATACTTAGGCTCGAAGACGTAGTGTTCTGCTCAACTGCAATTCTTGATATCCCTGATCCCATGTAAATAGTTAAAATTTCAATTTTTTGATAAATAGGAGGTCATATGGAGTATTTATGCTTCTATTTGAGTGCCCATCCAATCGGTGCAAATAGCGAAAGGGAACCTTATTCTCCAACTCGGAGCAATTAAGTTTTTGAAATTTCGGGAGGTTTTGCTTTAAGTTTTTTTATAACGATTTAAGAAAAAATACCATTTATGCATAGGAGTTTTGTTTACATGAATTTAACATTGATTTCCGGCCAAAATTCAAGCGCTAGCTGAACATATTTCGAAAGGTCATATTCCTCAATCGATGACTGTTCATTTTAGAGAACTTACCAGGAAGGTTGGTGATATTTGACTTTTCTACTTTCTTTCTAAAGGAACCATATCATAATTTGCATGTATAGCTACAAATTCTTGTTCATAGCATTTGGGGCTAGGCTGGATTCTTTATTATGCTGTATATTCTTTTTAAAGCATTGTTTTATTGAAATGCATATTTTCGAAATACAAAACTTGTCATTTTCTGAGTAACTCCACTGTATCAGAGCTAATTTCAAAAAGAGGAATAGTGGACTATGTAGTTACTGTTTTATTTGTTAGAGCAAAATTTTCTTGGTAGGTGCTTTTGATGGTTCCAGTACTCATTGCTGTTCTTGTACATGTTAATGTGTGTCCTACACATGCAATATAGCTTGTTTGCTTGTAGAGTTCTCTAATGCTCGAACTCTTCAAAAAAGTTGGAGTACTCGTGTCAAATATGATACGACATAGGTATGGGTATGAGATATGTGTTGGATTCTCCAGATTTCAATCGGATACTAAAACGTTTTTGTCGCTTCTTTTTTTTTTTCCTTCTCCTTTTCTTTCTTGTTTCTGCTATCTATAAATCTAACGTCACCTCTGAGAGAGTGGAGAAAGGCGATAGCGCTATATTTTCCCTTCTTCTTCTTATTTCTTTCCATTTTTTTTTTCTTTTCTTTCCTTCTTTTCCTCTCTGTATCAGTGGTATAAGGTTTTGTTTGTATAAAATGAAAAAGGGTTCCATATAATGTTACTTAGTGCTCTACTAAGTCAAAATGACAATCAAGTTCCTCATTTTCTTTTGTATATAACATTTAGTAATTAACTTTCCATAATTGAAAATTAAACCCCAAAATTCTGTTTTATTCATTTCAACCCCCTATTCAATACTCATTTGATTTTGATTTATTCAAAATGACATTTTGGATTAGTAAAAAAAATTGAAGTTTGAATGATGCACCCACATACCCATGTTCGAAATATGGACTCTTTTTGGACATGTCCCCGTATCTTACGTTTTAGAAAATAAACAATCCAACACTTAGATACATATCCGTACTCGATACTTGTACTTGAGTCCAAGCATCATAGGTAGAGTTAGTAAGACACAATTATCTCGTTTCAAATTTAAAGGACTATTAATTTTTCTACATTTGAACTTTGCCTTAAATTTTTAGTCACAGACAACTTGCGAGAAGTGAACCTAGATGTTATGTATCATCTACCTTTTTAATATGAGATATTTGACTTATTTTTTTGTATATAATATTTTATTGCTTTTTATATGTTTGTCGTCAACTAAGGTTGTGGAGTTTTCCTTACAAGAATCCTTATTTAACCAAATAAAAGATTGGGGGTAAGCTGAAAGTATATATTTGAGTCAAGAAGGTTATTTACTTGTGATAAGTGTATTTTTATGCACTCATTTAATTTACAAACATGACTAAATCGCGAGCAAAGTGTTTGAATTGTGGTTTAATTTCGTTTGATTTGTATGTTGTAGGCTATATTGATGGACATGTTGGAATCCACAAGAAAATATTCGAAAAGGGCCAAAACGAAGCAAAGTAAAAGTTCAAGGATCAAAGCGCAAATATCCAAAAGTTGAACTAAAAGACGAATCGGGAATGCAAAAGAGCTAAAGGGGGTGTATTCAATTGGGACTTTTGAAGACTTTTATGGATTTTTTTAAGTGATGACTTTTGTGGATTTAGTGGATCTTTTATACATTTGTATGGAATTAGTGGAAGTCTTTTTTAGACTTCTATGAATTTTCATTTTAAAACTTTTATAGACTTCTGTGGAATTTAAAAGATTTTTGAAGACTTTCATTTGAAATAGAATTCATGAAGATCTGGTGTGAAATTCTCACATATAGGGTGTTAGTTCCCACAATTCCCCTTCTTCTTCTCATATAATAAAAAAAATTTGAAAAAAATAATAATTTAAGACCTTAATTAAATAAATAATAATAAAAATTATTTATGATTCAATATTATTAGTATAGTAACTTTTAAAAATAAATAAAAATCAATATATTTAAATTTAATTATAATTTTTCATATAAACTTTTGTAATTTAATTAAAAAATAGATATTTTTCACAAAAAAAATGAATTAAAAAAGAAAAAAAAGTTACAAGAATCTAATTTAACTTTTCATAGAAAATTCAAAATAGAGATAAATAATATGAGAGAGAAAGAAAGATAAATGAAATATAATCAATTAAAAAAAAAAATTTAATCATACATGTCCATAGAAGGTTAAAGGAAAGAAAATTTAATTTTTTGTTTTTAATTTTTTTGGTGAAAGTCTCACAAAATTTCGTGATTAATGAGAGACAAATTTTAAAATTTTATATGAGTATTTTCTGCTTAAAAGTTAGTACTCTAGAGACTTTTATAAAAGTTTCTAGAAGTCATTAAAATTTGAATACCCTAAGACTTATAGAAATTTCTAAAAAATTTTAATTGAATACACCGTAACTTTTAGAGACTTTTTAAAAGTTTTTAAAAGTCTCAATTGAATACATCGTGACTTTTAGAGAGTCTTAAAAAGTCTCAATTGAATACCCATGAACTTTTTAAATCTTAAAAAACCATTAAAAGTATCAATTGAATACACCCCCCTAAGTATTAACTCGGTGGTAATGCGGGATGATCAGAGGAAGAAACACAAGAAAAAGGACCAGAATGAAGAAAAACAAAAACCTAGGGACTAAAATATAATTATCCAAATGATGAACCGAGTGAGTAATCGAGGATTTGATTGAACCAAGTACCAATTGGAGACTGATATTGGTTGATGAAATTAGAAGAATGAAGAAATGAGGTCAAAATGGAAGAAAATAAAGCTTGAGGATCAAAATGGACATTTTTGAATGAACTACTACTATGCGACCACATAGTAGTACTTCCATCCGTTCGCATGGAAGGTGACCAAAACTTTTTCAAGCCAAAATTTTCTTCTATGCGGTCACATAGACAAAATTCAGGGACCAATGCTGCAGTTTCCAGTTTTCGTTAAAACTCTTTTGGAACTCGATTGGGATGTGATATAAAAACCTAGAATCGTCAAATTTCGGGGCAAAAAACACATCTTGGAGGAGATTTTGAGCGAGAGTAACGAAGGATTTCACGAAGATCATCGAGATTGCACGCAAATTTATAACCCAGTGATGTTTTATCTTCAAGAAAATATGTATTATGTTATTTTCTCCATATTAGGATAAATATTTTTGTACTAGGAGATCGATGAACCATGTGATGTGATCTTTGGATTTCTTACTTTGCAATTCGACATTAAAACACGTATTTGATTTTTTGAATGATTTATATACATTAATTGACTTCCATAATGAAGTGCATGTAATTTGTGTTGCGTGGTGATTTATTTCTTGCATTCGAGAGAAAGGAAATAAATTTGATATGGTATAAATTATTGTAGGGTCCGATGGAGGATAGAGATATACCCCTAAACTTTGCATAAATCTTTAAGTGCTCATAAAACCACATTCTTTCTTATACATATGCATCCGTCATAGAGATATAGACTCGTGGTATATGATAATAGGCTTAATGCTGCTTGAGAGAGAGTATTTGATAGATTTAGGAGCACTGATTTTTCAATAATTCAATTGTGTTGTCATATTGAAAAACTAGGGTTTAAGGTGATCATTGCATGGAAATTCGTGATCCAAGTGCATTTAATTTTCATTGAATAAAATCAATTTGCGTTCCAACCATTTACTTGGCATTTTAGTTCGTTAAGACATCATTTGCATATTTAGTTCATTCCAATCATCACAATTGCATATTTAGGATTTTCTTAGGGAGAAAAATTCATTTTGGATAAATTGATTTCGGTTAAGGCTACGTTAGATAAAATTGAACTACTCAATCTCTGTGAGACGATATTCGGAACTCTAAATTTTACTTTATTACTTGTTACGAACCGTACACTTGCGGTGTTTTAAATCGAAAGAGTAAATTCATGAACAGCTTGTTCCATGAATTATTCGTTATTTCTTCGGTCTTTCTAGTTTTATTTTCTTCTTTTTAGGTATGGAGAACCACACTAATTAGTACGATTATAAAGTATAATTTATTTGTATTGGTTTTAATTTCGGAGGTAACCAAGTTTGTAAACAATACTTTGGCCTTAATCTATTTTGCCGACAATAATATGAATTTTTTTATATATATTTCGAAATCATTTACATTTTAATAATTGTACATTGAAGTATTCTTTTTATAAAGTCATGAGCTATTTTTAATAAAGTATGTTACATTTTCAAATTAATATGTACCGTAGTTACAATTCTATTACAATAGAAGAAATTGAAAATTATATATTTATAATATATTCTATGATGTGCATAAATAAAGATGAGATAAATTAGGCAACAATTGTACGTCGTTGATAGATTAAGATATATTATGCAACATATCAAACGCATTTTAAATCATATTTCGCGACAAACATGATTTGTTATTAAAGATATATTACCACAAGTATGTGTTGTAAAATAGAATAGGCAACAAAAGTTATGCCTTTAAAATAATATTAGCAACAAATATCTTTCTTGCAAAATTTTTTATTGGAATAATTGTTGCGGCAATTTGACTTGTCGCCCTTTTAATTTTTTTTCTCGACAAATATGTGTTGTGACGACATTTAGGGGACAAATATCTTGTTGCTATTTTGTACCTTTAGCGTCAAACAAATAGTGTTGCGAGTTTATTAATGCGATGAATGAGTGAAAGTTGTTGTAGAAAACATTCCCTAAGCCATATACCACAACAATGCCCGCAACAAACATTTTGTTGTCGCTAAATTACTTTTGCAATAAAATCTCAATTTTTGCAAAAATATTTTTTTAATCGCGAAATCAATTATTTTTTGTACAATTAAGTGGAAATATTAGTAATAACTATACAAATTAAATAAAGGTATATTAGTAAGTTAACAAAACAAAGCATTATCAATAAAGAAAATTGATTATATAACTCGGACAAGAAAATAAGAAAAGTCAATTTATATAAATAAGACGGATGGAGTAATTTAATAATTTGAAGGAAGCTAGTAAAAATAAAAGATAGAGAAAAATAATAAATGCTTTTTGGTAGTAGTAAAATTAAATGATAATAATAAAGAGTCTCTTGGAGCACTAATTTTTTTGTTCTCTAAATTTATAGATGCTTTCTAGATTGTTAAATATTTTTTTTTAAGAATAGAGAGTCTCTAAATGAAACATAAGATATCACATTCAATAAGATCCACGTAAATTGATCATCTCGTGCAAAAAGAAGCCCCCTCATACTACAAGTACTTTGACATCCTTCGAAGAGAAAGAAAACAATAGTCTGGAGACCTTTGCGGCCTCAACATTGTTGAAAATATTACTGCATAAAAATTATACTCCATTATCTATCGGATGGAGTTTTTACTTAGCGAAATCAAGAAAAGGGCATGAAATTGAGCAAAATAAAAACTCGCCGAAGTGTTAAAAAATGTAAAAATAAGGATATGAAATTTAGCGGAGTATGCGAATGTAAATTTCCTCAAAACATATTTGAACATCTGCACTAAAGTTAACATGATCAAATAGACACCTGTCTCCCAAAATACAATGTTACTATTGAAATTAGTAAAGTACAATATTATTTTGGTGGGGGCAAATCGGAGCATGACCGTACTGCTATAGACCAGATTATATCAACAGTAAAATAATAAATCCTCAAATTCGAAAATAATATAAAAATTTAGAGAAAGAAAGAATTAGAAATAATTTTTTTGAAATTCATTTGAATTAAATAAATCAGAATTAGGAGAGTCCTCTTTGTAGATTTCAATGTATCTTTTTTAGATGGTAGCATCTTTTGACACAAATTTATTTTAACCATTAAATTCCACTATTTATAATTGGGACATGATCTAGTCATCTAGATTTCACCCTATCGACATATATTGTGTCTTTTTTATATTTTTTTAGCTCGAAGAGTCGCACTCAATTATCGTGTCTATTGTTCGAACGTTCTAATCACGGTGGATTCCAGTAAAGGCGCCATACGTGTTCATCTTGAAAATCTGGAGAGTACATACTAGATTGAGATACTAAAAAAAAGGTTGAACCCCAATTTTGAAGATTCCCACGGCCCCGCCCCGCCCTTAGAGTTTTGTGAGGGAGGTAAATCGCGGGATGTATCCCAGCAGGCCATGAAACAAGAGCTGCCTGTATACTGCGCCTACAAGGAATCCAATTTCATATATCAGGAATCGAACCCCACACTGCGGCTGTCAGCAAGGCGTGAGATAACCTCACTCCTGCCCTTTGCACCACTGGACTATGCCCCGGGGGCAGATTGAGATACTAGTTTGGTGACAGAGAGATTTTTTCGCAATGACAAAATTATAGGTTAAATGATTTTTGATATTTTTCGTTAATCACATTAGCAAATTTGTTAATCTAGAAGATAAAAGTAGGAGTATCTAAACTAAAATAAAAATTAACGCTTAGTGACTCATATATATATATATATATATATATATATGAGCAAAATGAAGCAACAAATTAAAAGCGTGCATATTCACTATTTTATCGTGGCATAAAGGATTGTCGAGCAGTCTTCTGACTTGAAATAAGAGATTCCAATAACCGAGCAGGAGGGAATCCAGGACCAAAGTCCAGCTAGGGCGGAGGTCGACTGTCAACGATCGTAATAGTCTGATCGTCTAGTAAAATTTGGTTTAAAAAAAAGTGCCAAGTACACACAGGAATTGAGCGGCCAACATCT